TAACACCTGTCTGACTTCCACAGTTGTCTGACTTTGCCACTTCTTCCACAGAAGGACTCCCCTCTTCTCCTTCCTTGTGAGTCAGTACCAAAGCTGTAGCAGTCACAGGACTTAAAAAGAGGTTACTGAACATCAGAGGAATTTTTAAAAAGCCTTTTGGAGATGTTGGTCAAAATACAACATAGTCTGTAACTTTAAACATTAATGCTTATGTCCAAGAGACTAAAGTACTTGCTTATACTTTACTATGAAGAAAATATGAGACCAATTTAAACAAATGTACATGCAAAGTCTTTGAAATAAGTCAGAACTAACATGAAGATGATGGTGACTTTATCTAAAGAGCAAATGCCTTGGGGATGCCTAAGTGGCTCAGTCAGTTAAGCATCCTACTCTTGATTTCTGCTCAGGTCGTGATCTCAGGGTTGGTGAGTTCGAGCCCCTCATCCAGCTCTGCACGGACAGCGCACGGCCTGCTTAGGATGCTCTCTCTCTCTATCCCTCCCTCCCCCTGCAAGCTCTCTCTCTCTCTTTCAAAATAAATAAATAAACAGTAAAAAAAAAAAGATAAAGAGTAAATGCCACACTGGAGGAGGCAGACAGGGAAAGGCTGGGATGGCTGGAAGCGAAGGAAGGTCTTGGGGATCACAGGCTGATGTGGGGTCGTGGGTTTTACCCTCAAGTCACTCAAAGCCTTCATTAACCAACAAGCACACGTATATTTCTTCTTTTTAAAATTTTTTTTAATGTTTTATTTATTTTTGAGAGAGACGGGGACAGAGAATTCCCCATAGGCTCTGCACTGACAGCACAGAGCCCGATGTGGGCTCAAACTCAGGAACCTGAGTTCTGTTCAGTTCCTAAAAACTCTTCTAGTTTGTAAACAAATATCTTTTTAAAATTTTTTTCATGTTTATTTATTTTTGAGGGGGGAGGGGCAGAGAGAGGGGGAGACACAGAATCTGAAACAGGCTCCAGGTTCTGAGCTGTCAGCACAGAGCCCGATGCAGGGCTTGAACCCACAAACCGTGAGATCATGACCTGAGCCAAAGTCAGACACTCAACCGACTGAGCCACCCAGGTGCCCCTCACATATTTCTTCTTAAACCAGGGGTTGGCAAATGCTGCCTCGCATATCAACCCAGGTCCGTTGGGTCTGTTTTTGTAAACGGTTTTGTTGGAACTCAACCACATCTGCTCACTTACATATTGTCTTTGGCTGCTTTTGTGCTACCTGGCCGTGTTGAGAAGTTTCGATGGAGACCTGTGGCCCACAAGGCTTTGAGACATGAACCTTCCCGCTGAAGAGAACTGGGCAAGGAGTCACTCTGGTTTTACCGGTTTGGGGGCAGAGGCAGAGATCCTGGAGGCCAGTTTGAATGCCAGCTAATTGGGGACCACAGTCTTGGCCTGCTCCTTAATGTCCAGGGATGATTACAAAAGAAAGACCTGCACAGGGCCTCCTCAGAGTCACCATTGTGATTTTGTGGCCTTTGAGTTATAGACAGCTCCTCCTTCCTTATGACTGACAGCAAGAGTGACTTCATTTATCTGCACCTGTCTGCACCGAGAGCTCCTGTTATCCCCACCTTCCAGACGAGAACACTGAGCAAAGACCGCCTGAGGAGCCAGAGCGAATATGGGGTACACACTACTAGGGTGACGAGCCTCCAAAAGCCACTCTGCCATTGCACACGTGGACACTGATGGCGGAAGCTGGGGACCCACACACGCCAGCCCTGGGGCTGGAAACGCACAGTGCTCACCATCTGTTTCTCATCCCTTTAGCTGGAATCTGACTCAGTTCCACTCACCTGGAACGTGCCCCAGGTCCCCACTGCTCTCCAGTCTTCTGAGCTGTAAACACTCCCAACCTAAGCTCTCAACAGTCACCTTGATCAGAAGGTGGGCAAAGACATGTTCAAGAGGAGCACACTGAGAATACTACTTTGTCGGAGCCTTCAGTCCACAGGCGGAGCTGCTCAAGTTTGAAAATCCGTTTTCAACAAGGTCCACCACTGGTCTTTGGAGAAACCCCATTGGTCCAAGCCACCCCTGCCATCACCTCCTAACCGGGCTTCTAGTGTCCGCTCTCACCTTCCCTGTGCAATCTCCACAGACAGGCCAGAGTGGTCTTTCCAAAAGGTTAATCATATGAGGGGATCTCCACTGAAATCCATCACTGGTTTTCCATTTCAGTTAGAATCAAATCCTCAGCACGGACGATGAGCCCCCCTGCTGGCCTGAGCTCTGCCCATCTGTGAACTCATCCGTTATCCCTCCTCCCAACTCTTACCACTGGCCTGCGGATAGCTCTTAAACTGCTCTAAATGAATCCCCACCTTGGGTCTCTAGACCGGCTACCCCTGCAGCCTAGAATGCTCTCTGATGGATCTCCGCATGGCTACCTCCTCACCGCTTGGGTCTCTCCACTAATGTCATTCCTTGAACACTCGATGCCGTACTGCCCACCCCCCCAACTCTGGCACTATTTGAAGTTATGCATTTCTTCCTTGCACTATTCTCAAGCTTCTCCACTAAAACATAAACCCCTGGAGAACAGAAGCCTGCCTTGATCTGTGTTCTATTCCCAATGCTTCGTGCAGTGCCCAGAACACAGCGGGTACTCCATAAATATTTCTTTAATATCTTCAAATGCAAGAAATTCTGTTTCACAGCCATTCCTAGAGGGAATGTCATGATTCATGTAGGAATGGCTTCAAACAGCTTTATAAGTGGCCCAGTATTTCCTTCACTCAACTCCACGGAAGGCTACTCTGTACCTTTCCCTAAAATCAAGACAAACTGAGCAACACCCATAGGAAACCCAAACTTCAAAAAACGAGTCCATACCAGCTTTAAGGAGGAACGTAATTCAAAACATGAAAATTTATTCTAAGTTGTATCTTAACATACGAGATCTCAGCTTTAGATGAATTTTAATGTTTACAAGTGCAAAAGCAAATAAATATTTACCAGTTGCTTTTTTTTTTTTGCACTCTTATAACTCCACAACAGCTTAGATGCAAAAAAAATTGTTGCTAAACATCTTGTAGTCTGGCAAAAAGAAGAATTTCTTATTAAGAAAACCCCTCACAACAATAACAACCCCTCATGCTCACGGCTGCCTCGCAGAGACGAACAGGATGGTTCGTTAGGATCTGAGCGTTGGATAGAGCAGCACATCTCACTGGTCAGGATGACGGGGAGCGTTGCCTCACGGCGGAGGCCACACCAACCATGCCCTGCTCTCACCATCCATGAGCTGGGTGATTCATGCAGCAAACAGGGCTCTGGGACAGGGAGCCCTGATCTCCGGGCTCGGACGGTGAGCTATTAGCAGCCTGCTGCACGCTGGAGGGTCTCAGGCTTTTGGTTTCGACGTGAATGTCACTTCCCCAGCTGGGCCTATCTTAGTTAAGAGAGGTCCCTGACCTCCTCATGATTCTCTTCAACGGCACCCTGTTTATTCCCTCTATGACCGTTTCACAGACTCCAATTTTAGTTGGCAGTTTCCTGGCTAGCTAGCGGACCTGCTCGCTTGCTGTGTTGACACCCTGCTTCCTCGCTTCCCCGTGGGCGCTCTAGCTGAGTGCCATCGTTGCTGAGTCCTTTATACAGCGAGCCTCAAGAGGCAGAGGCTGTGCTTGCCTCGGTTCGCACCCACCCAGGGCCTGGCACCAAACAGTTGGTCCATAAACACAGGCGCTAAGTGAACACAGAATGAAATCTTGGGGCGCCTGGGTGGCTCAGTCGGTTAAGCGTCTGACTTCGGCTCAGGTCATGATCTCACGGTCCGTGAGTTTGAGCCCCGCGTCGGGCTCTGTGCTGACAGCTCAGAGCCTGGAGCCTGTTTCAGATTCTGTGTCTCCCTCTCTCTCTCTGACCCTCCCCCGTTCATGCTCTGTCTCTCTCTGTCTCAAAAATAAATGAACGTTAAAAAAAAATTTTTTTTTTTTTAAAAAGAATGAAATCTTGGGGCGCCTGCGTGGCTCAGTTGGTTAAGCGTCTGACTTCAGCTCAGGTCATGATCTCACGGCCTGTGAGTTCAAGCCCCGCATTGGGCTCTGTGCTGTGATAGCTTAGAGCCTGGAACCTGCTTCCAATTCTGTGTCTCCTTCTCTCTCTCCCCCTCTCCCATTTGTACTCTGTCTGTCTCTCTTTCTCTCTTGCAAAAATAAACATTAAAAAAAATAAAAGAATGAAATCTTAAAGAGGGGCTCCTGGGTGGCTCAGTTGGTTAAGCATCCGACGCCTGATTTCTGCTCAGGTCATGATCTCGTGGTTCATGGGTCTGAGCGTCACAAGGGGCTCCACTCTAATAGTGCAGAGTCTGCTTGGGGGATTCTTTCTCCCTCTCCTTCTGCCCCTTCCCCACTCATGCTCTCTCTCTCAAGATTAACTTAAGAAAAGAAAAAGAGGGGCGCCTGGATGGCGCAGTCGGTTAAGCGTCCGACTTCAGTCAGGTCACGATCTCGCGGTCCGTGAGTTCGAGCCCCGCGTCGGGCTCTGGGCTGATGGCTCGGAGCCTGGAGCCTGTTTCCGATTCTGTGTCTCCCTCTCTCTCTGCCCCTCCCCCGTTCATGCTCTGTCTCTCTCTGTCCCAAAAATAAATAAACGTTGAAAAAAAAAAAAAAAAAAAAAAAAAAAAAAGAAAAGAAAAAGAGTGAAATCTTAATGAATACACTTCTTAAGATCAATGTCTTTTTTAAATCATTTACTTCACCGTGTCCAAGTCCTCGGAGGTACCCTGAGGTAAGTGGATTTTACCAGCAAACAAACATCAAGGCAAGACTTCCTCGAGCAACAATAAGAGAGAAAGTCTTCTTATTAGAACAAACCAGAGAGCAAGAGAGACAGACAGATACAGGCACACACACGTCTCTTACGCCAGGGACACATACACTTCCAGGAACATGAAATTCCCTATCCCGGTTTTTCTTAAAGGGGGAGAATGCTCACGACAGCACGGAGCCTCACAGGAGGACCGGGCCACTTACCTGGATTGACAGTGATAAATTTGCTATCCTCGGAAAATCTGTCCCCTCGGGACACGGGCTTTTTCGATGGCATCTGGGGCCTCCCGGGATCACTCCCTTCGAAACGCTCCTCTGCAACTGTGGCGGGCACTTGGGTGGAGGTGACCGAGCCGGGGTCCAGGCCCGGGAGGGCATCCCTCCCATCATCGGGCCGGGCTGTAGGGACGGCAGTGCGGTCTCGCCCGTGCCCAGGCAGAGTCTGACGCCCACCGGCCTCTGCAGTCCTGTCGGGAGACGAGGGGGTGGGGGTGGGCTCGTCCTGGCTCCGCTCCTGGGTGGCGTGGGTCACCCCGCTCTTTTTCTTCTCGGAGTCCTTCTCCCCCTCCTCCTCATGCTCCCGCTCTCCGTCCTCGCTCTCGCTCTCCTCATCCTTTTCCCCTTCCTCCGCGCCCTCGCTGTCCCTGGTGGGCGCCGAGTCGCCGTCGGGGCCCGGGGAGGCCAAGGCTTCTGTGGTGGCTAGGACAGGCCTGCTGGCCTGCTTGCTGGCAGAGGCGGCCGTGGGCAGGCGCGTGGGCCACACGGTGCTGGGGAAGGACGGGATGCCACCACCGCTGAACCCCAGGCCCGCCAGGAGCGTGCTGGTGACCACCGAGGCCACGGTGGCCTGGCTGCCGCTGGAGGAGGGGCCCATCCCGGTCGCCATGGAGACAAATGAGAAGGGGATGCCGGACGACGTCCAGGTAGAGGACCCCGAGCTGATGGGGGCCATGTCGGCCGAAGAGGCAGGAGACGCTGTGGGCTTCAAAGGGTCACCCGGGGAGGTCAGGGGAAGGGACAGAAGAGAAAGCAGAGCCATGTCAGTCATCAGGATGGGGAAAAAGGCCCTGCTTATGACCCTCAGTAGGTTTTTGTGGTACCAAGGCTGACATGAGGTGGTCCGTGGTCACATGACCACCTCCGGTCTCAACAGTTTTACAATCACTTTGAGCGCATTAAAAAATTCAACTAGCGTATCAAACCAACTCTTCACCACTTTTGCTTAGGAAGAAGCTCAGTGAGTGGCAAAAAAAAAAAAAAAAAGAAAAAAAGAAAAGTAAGTACCATTAAAGTTGGGGTAAAGACCAATATCCGCTAAGTAATAAATCAGCAACATCAGATGGTCACATGATCCTGGGCTGACCCTGCCAGAGGCAGGAGTCCCTGCTTTTTCATATGTATCACTGGCTCTCATGGAGAACACACAGCAACCAGGTCTAGAAAAGCCCTCCAGGGTCTGGTTCCTCCGACTCAAAGTGAGGAAGCAGATGGACAGAAAGGGCACGTGGCTGTCCACGTCTGCAGCGGGAGGAGCCACGCTCAACCCTGCATGCTCTGGGAAGTGGCTTACAGCCCTGCATCTTCCTCGTGGGTCCCGTATAGCCGCTGCCGCTTCCGGAGTCTCTGGGTCTATCCATGGGGACCTCTACGCCCAGGTACATGAGGCACACAGGATCATCACCCCATTTTACAGGTCAGGAAACCAAGGCACAGAGATGTTAAGGGCTAGAGGCAGGGCCGCCTGTGTTCAAGCCTCAACTCATTCTTCCCACCATCCTAAACTGGGGCTTCTGTGTGAGAAGCAGATAATGGTATCTTGGAAAAGCACGAAATGTTGCTCTAAGTTACCTGTTTTAGTTCTTATAGCCTGGTATAAGCATCCAGAATGCCATCCCCTCACTTATATAGTTCAAAACAATACAGCCAGAGCCACTTTGGTTCCTTAACGTTATCACCATATTTCACTTGGGAAACTTTGTAGTCTAAGGAAGGCCAATGTTAGCACATGTTTGTTTCTAATGCTAAATGCCACATAAGACAAAGCATCCAGGACATAGAGGTCAGATGGTCTGGGCGTGAGTTGACAACCTCTTGTCTGGGTGATGCTGAGCACATTGTTTTAACTCACTAAGCCTCAGTTTCCTCTGTAAAATGGAAACAGTACTAACACTAGTCTTATGGGATGCTGCAAGCAGTAAATAAAATAATAAAATCATCTAAAACCCAGGGAATGCTAGTAAATTTTAGACTATTACTGTTATTACCAACACTGTGATTAATATTATGATTGTTAGTTACACTAGGAATCGGAAAGTTTAGATATTAATTGAGGCTCCAGAAACTTGCAAATCCACGTAACTCTGGGGAAATGACAACCTCTGAATTTTAGCATATGTTCAACGAAGGGCTTGGAACAGACCTTTTGCACTCATTTGCACTCTTACATTGTATGATCCCATAGATTATAAATAATTTAAAATATGGAGAGTTTTTACCTTGATAGGAACTATACAGTACAACACAAGTGCTTTAACTGTCACCAAGCTTCTTTTCATAACACATTGAATTATAAAGAGGGAGAAATGTGATTTTTTCTGTATTTTCACCTCTTCAAGAGCAGTTTAACAACATCCTACTGCCACCTCGTGGTCACGGTTTTAACTGCACGCGAGTTAACAACCAGCCAGGACAAAGCAATTACCGTTTGCTACTTACCACTCCTGTTTTAACAATTCTGGTCCCTTGGAATATTCGAGTAGTGTTAGCTGAGAAACAAAGAAATTACATTGTAAACAATATACCTTTTTTTGTTGTTCCAATAAAACTTACGATTTACATATAATTTCCACATGTCATGAGATATTATTCCTTTGTAGATTTTTTCCCAACCATTTAAAAATGTAAAACCCTTCTTAGCTTGTGAGTCATTAAAAAACCTTTCACAGGGCTACGTAGCTTGCCTGCTGACTCTTGTCTTACGGTATTAGTTAATTTTTAAAAAAAAAATTTATTGTTTTCTGTTTTGAAGTAAAACTTACCTAAGTAAATCTACAAATTTTAGGTGTACTGCCCAAGTAATTTTCTCTATAAACACCTGTGTAACTACTACCCATACTGAGACATATATAGATGTTGGCCAGCACTCCAGAAGGTTTGCATAAGCCCCACACAATACTGACCCCACCTTTCCAAAAGGTAACCCACAATTCTGACCTCTGTTTTGTCTATCTCTGATTTCATATAAATGGAATCATTATTGCACTGTTCCTACCTATCATCTTTCTTTTCAAGTCTATTTATTTATTTTTTTTTTTTTAATTAAATTTTTTTTTTTCAACGTTTTTATTTATTTTTGGGACAGAGAGAGACAAAGCATGAATGGGGGAGGGGCAGAGAGAGAGGGAGACACAGAATCGGAAACAGGCTCCAGGCTCCGAGCCACCAGCCCAGAGCCCGACGCGGGGCTCGAACTCACGGACCGCGAGATCGTGACCTGGCTGAAGTCGGACGCTTAACCGACTGCGCCACCCAGGCGCCCCTAAGTCTATTTATTTTTTTTAGTAATCTCTGTACCCAACTTGGGGCTCAAACTCATGACCCTCAGATCAAGAGTCACATGCTCTTCTGACTGAGCCAGCTAGACAACCCCCCTACCTACCATCTTTTTGTTTATAATTTCCTATATTATCAATTCCGTGATTATAACGTGAATCCTGAACTTACTATAGTTTACCTTCAACTAGCACTTGTACCACTTCCTGAAAACATAAGAACTGTACAATAGTTTAACCCTATTTGCCTGCCTCGCCTTTTGTGTGCTGTCATATATTTTATATTTTATTTCTATTCAGTTTTAAAGCCCCGTAAGATACCGCCTTCATCGCTTCATTGCTTTAAATTGTCAACTTCTGATATGACCCACACAACATTCGTTCTGATGTTCGTTCCTTCCTGTGGTTCTGCCTCTTATTGTTGTTAAACAATATAACTCTAGAAAATGTTTAATTGTGGTAAAATACACATAAATTTACCATCTTAACCGATTAATTTTTTTTTTTTTAATTTTTGAGAGAGAGAGAGAGAGAGAGAGAGAGAGAGAGAGAGAGAGAAAGAGAGAAGGCTCCATGATCAGGGCAGAGCCCGACGAAGGGCTTGATCCTATGACCCTGGGATCATGGCCTGAGCTGAAATCCAGAGTCGAATGCTTAACCAAGCCACCCAAGTGCCCCATCTTAACCACTTTTAAGTGTGCAGTTCAGTAGTGTTAAGTATGTTTTCATTGGTGTGCAACCAATCTCGGAATTTTTCATCTTCCAAAACTGAAACTCTGTACCCATTCACTCCTCTCCCAGCCTCTGGCGACCACCATTCCATTTGATGTTTCTATATGTTTGACTACTCTAGATACTTCACATAAGTGGAATCATATATATTTGCCTTTTTGTGACTGGCTTATTTCATTTAGCACAAGGTCTTTGAGGTTCATCCATGCTGGGCCATGTGTCAGAATTTCCATCCTTTTCAAGGCTGAATAATATTCCCCTCTATGCACACACAGCATTTTGTGTGCTTCTATTCATTGTTAGTGAACACTTGGGTTGCTTCACTACTGTGAATAATGCCAAACAGTCTAATTAAAGAAAATAGCAAAGTGCTTCTTTGTGGTTATCTCCAAATAGGAGTGTTATATGAACTAAAAGTTTGCTTCCTATATATGCATGGCACTGAAAAATCAGAAAAAAAAAAAAAAAAAAAAAAAAAAGCTAAATACCAAAGTATACAATATGCGTGTCTGTTGTAAGTTTTTACCTAAACCAGGAGTGGCAAACGACTGGCATAATTTTTGTTTGGCCTGCAACCTTTTTTAAAACTGAATTTGTTGCAATAGCTTTCAAACTAAAAATCCCAATTTCCCGCTTATCCTGTAAAGTCACAATATTCAGTAAAACTGAACTCTCCTCCCTGCAGGGACTGAGCATCCCTCAGTGGATGGTGGATGTAGGATGTCCAGCTTCCCGTTGATAACCCTCCCCCGTGTCTATGCATATGCCGTGCACGGCCCCAGGGGCACCTGAGTCTGCAACCCCCGGCCTAAGGACACATTCATTTTGCATAGTTGGAGAGTCGAGATGAACTCTCGACTTTGGAAAGAGATGCATAGTGGGAAAGAGATGAACGTGGAGTACTCACTTCCCTTCGTTAAAGCGGGTCATCTAAAGAGACCTGTGTCACCTGCCCTTTACAAAGGGCTCTGATTAAGGCCCAGAAAGGAAGCAGCAACTCAGCACACATACTTCTCATTAACGTTTGACGGTTTCTACCGGGCTGGTTCAAGCTGCGGTGACCAGGAAGTTTCTCCCGGACCGCTGGTATCAGAAATGCTTAACCTGGCACCCATGGGCCCAGGGGGATTCAGGGACAGGAAAAAAAAGGCATCTGCCTTTTCCCACCAAGTTCTCACTGACGTGAAATCAAGGCTCTCCTTTTGCCATGAGAGCAGCCAACACATCTCAGCAGCCCCAGCAGGACCTGTGACTTTGTCTCTGACTGAAGTCAAGTATTTTTATATTCCCTTATAATTGTCGTAGCTATTCTGCCGCAACATTCATGTTTGTCACCACTCAGACATCAAGGTAGCAAGCCGACCCAATGCTTGTCCTTCGATGCCTTAATAAAAAAAGGAAAAAGCATATATGACTATATGCCCAAATTTATGTGTTTAAAATATTTTGACAACTGTATTTGAGCATAATTGGTTCTCTCTTCTGTGTATTTTACTTATTTATTTTAAGTGATTGTGAGATGGGATCCATTGGCTTCAGGCTGCCTAATGGGTCTGTGGCTCAGAGAAAAGCTCAAGAACCACTATTTTCTATGACCGTTGAGAACTGCAGACAGGCTTTGAACACGAAGCAATCGATCTTGCTGCCCGTTTTTGTTGAATTACGGGGGCCATAGGGTAATATTTAGGGGTGGCCTGTTGCTATGTATAAACGATCTGGATTTGGAATAAGTTATCAAGACACTGCTTAGTGGCCAAGTGGTTTTTTCTTCTTGCTGCTGTTGTTTTTTTTCTGCAAGTTACTCGACTGCCTGGAACATCATCTCTCCATCAGTAAAATAACATGTAACTTACAAGCTGCCACTGCCATGCGGTCAAATGAAATAACTTACTAACTTATGGGAAAAGGCTCTGTAACTGTGAGCCATTCATGGATACTGCTTGGTATTATTACTATTATATATGTCACACTCAAGTAAATATGTAACACTTAATAGTGTATTTACCATAATGTAAACATTCCAACATGGCTTCCTCATGCTCCCAAACCAGATGTAAACTTCATCACTGGGAAACCTAATTATTCTGAACCAGGCCTCTGTGAAATTCCTTAAGCTTTTTTCCACTCCCTTTTAAGACTTGAGTCCTAACAGTTGATCAGTTTTGCACGCTGGGCTCCACTGCTCACAAACGCATCCTTGGCTCTCAAGACGAGGTGTGCTAGCCTCCCCGAAGAGTTAGTTCGTACGCTGCCCACCGGATGCCTAATTTAGGGAAGACGCAAAAGCCACCGTGAGGAGGCCCGGAGGATCCACGCCCCTCTGTCAACGTATAGGGACAAGCAACAATATAGAAAATGAGGAAACGCACGTCCACCTCTGAACAAAGTGAGTCTTTCTAGACAAAGGAGACATTGGCCATTTCCAACTAGTCTCTGTGATCAGACATGTTAAATATTCCATGCTTGGAATTTATAGCTGACAAGGCCTTTTTGAATTACATTACATTACAAACATTTAATTTTTCAAAGTCCACACAGAAGCCAGCAAGCTCAGGGGCCTATTAATCAGGACAGGCAGTTCTGCAGATTCTAGGTTCTTGGTCGGAGCACACGGGAGGCCTAATCATGATTTATGCGTCCAAAGTTCCAGGGCCCTGGCCTCAGCAAACTCCCACTGTGGCCTCCTATTCTCTCTCCCCTGGGCCGCACAGACCTGGCTCTGGCCTGTGGACCCTCGTCAACACAGGCAGAGGGGCCAAAACACGCAGGGCACAGGGGGTCACGTGAAAAAAACACAGCGATGCTCATTTCAATTAGTTTAAACGGAAGGATGACATAATGTGAACACTAGCAAAGAGTATTTAAATGCTAAATGCCGAACTGTAAAGCTAGAAGGGATCCTTAGAGGGAATCTAAAGCTGGAGGGTTTCTTACCCTGAGTTCACCCTTTCTTTTTATATCAAACCTAGTACTAAGGTGATATTTATAGTTGGTACCAGGCACTCTGCTAATTACTTTACATGTTTCACCACACGCCATTCCACAAGGTCCCTGTGAGGTCGGTACCTTCAATACCGCCGCTTTTTGGACCGGGACACTGCAGCTTGGGGGAGCTAATAACCATTCTCTGAGTTCCAGAAACACTGAGTGGCAGGTGGACTCAAAGCCGCGGCCCTCATTCCAGGGCCCCAGCTCTACACCAGTGCCTCTCAGTCTTCACTGAGCATGCCAGGTGGGCCATCTGCTTAGAACTGAGATTCCTGGCCCCACCATCAGAGATTCTGAGGCAATTGTTCAGGGAGAGGCCCATAAATATGCATTTCTCACTGGCTTCCAGATGATGCTGATTGATGCTGCTGGTTCAGGACCTACGGGCTTGATGGGGCCCCTGAAGTTGTACTAAAACTCTGGATTTTTCTACGGGAAGGGTTCAAAGACTTCATCAGATACATGACTCAAAAAAGTTAAGAGCCGTTGGCCTGGGGCGTAGGTTTCTCTGAAACTGAGGATCCCAGGTGTGAAGAACCTTACCAGTGAGGACCTCAGCCTAGCACAGCAAGGTCCAGTGCCCTGGTCCCTCCCGCCATGTTGGTCTTGGTGCACGTCCCCAAACCAACTCACCAAATAAAGTCATGAAATAAAGTTTCACTGGAACCAGGACTGGGATTAGGTTGGGGCAAGTTAAGACAGAGTGGATCCTATCTTTATTTAGAATTTGTGTATTTTCTCCACGAACATTTTGCACAGATTTTGCTTCGAAAAAAAGTTCTGGTAAAATACAACATACCTTGAGTACGGAGTTTTTTGGTGCTCTTAAATTCTGCATGAAGGTAAATGCTTCTTTTGACTCACCCTAGTCCTGACTCTGGAACGTTCTACCAGACCCTATCTCAGCAGGAGCATAGAGCTATTTCTCCAGAAACCCAAGGATCCTGCAAGCAAAGGCTCATTTATGTGGCTTGTAAGCGAGAAGGGCATGCTTATAGGAGCGCCTGGGTGGCTCAGTCAGTTAAGCATCCAACTCTCGGTTTCGGCTCAGATCACAATCTCACGGTTTCACGGGTTTGAGGCCTGCATCAGGCTGTGCACTGCCAGTGTGGAGCCTGCTTGGGATCTTCCCTCTCTCTGTCTCTCTCTCTCCCTCTCTTTCTGCTCCTCCTCTACTCATGCTGTCTCTGTCTCTCTCAAAATAAATAAATAAACTTAAAAAAAAGAAAGGAGTGTGCTATATGTTTGGGCTCTGGTTCTTAAGAGAATAGCTAAGTGAATCATGCTAAAAATCCAAAGGCGATACTCCATAACATGACTAGGATGTGATTTTTGTGATGACGCAGTGTTAGACAAATACTTGGTTCCCCACAGTTGGAATATGACAATAATAATAAACAAAATGATCAACACTCTGTTCTTGTTCCCCGTCTTCTGGCCTATGAAACCCCCAACCTAAAAGACAGGCTTAAATTCCTCAGGCTTTTCAGGCGTGATTTAAAACTCCATGTTGATTCTTAGGCCAGGCTTATTTCTTCTGACCAGGCACGTCAAGAAGAAAACAGATAAAGCATAACAAAGGAGGGGTGCAGGGGCACTTGGGGCCAGAGAAGAGGGGAGCTGGCCTTACCTTGAAAGAGCATTGTCTGGCTGAAGTCACTGCGCATGTCATTCCTACAGACGGCTTGGACGCGGAACAGGTAAAGGCTATCCGGTGACACGTGGCTAATGGTGGCTTTCTGCAGGTGAAGCAAGAAAAGGCAGTGAGTTGGTTTTGAGGGCTGGTACACGCCTGACCTTCTAAAACCAAACCTAAAATAATGTTAAGCATTCCTTTTAGGTTTCTGGGTACCATGGCAAAGCCTGACAGACACGATGCTCCCCTGCTGACCGAAGGCTCAGTTTGAAGGGAAAGAACGTTTCGAAATAACTGGCTGGGAATCTGTTTTCAACACTGAAGCGTGCAGGATAGCAGATGTAACAAAATCAGTCCGGACTCATCCTTGACCGGCCTGGAACATGTCTTCGGCCATCTTCATCCTCACAAGGCTTGGGATTCTTTCCTTTAGTCCAGTTATAGACTGTAATTATTTACCCTGGGCAGCCTCTAGAATTACCAAGTATACTAAACTTCCAGAAGCAGGCAGAGTTTTTAATATCAACAACAAAATCTTGGCGTATACATTTCTTGGCAGTTCAGAGGCCTCGTTGTACTTGATGGATGGATACTATGGGGCACGAGGCTAGGTCAGAACACTTGATTAGAGTCCAGATGACATGAGACCCACCCCTGTCACACCACTCGCTGGCCGTGGGATTCCAAGTCAGCTGCTTAATGTCTTCCAGCCTCTGCTACCTTCCCCTGTTAAATGCAAAAAGCAGTAGCTACCTCACAGGATGCTTGTGAGTCCTGTAGCACACACGCCATGCAAACCTTGTTCGCAGGCATTCCATACCACATAACGTAAAGAATGCCCCTGGTCTAACACAGAGCCCAGCAAGCCACAGCCCACAGGCCAAATCCTGCCTACTGTTTCCTTTTTTTAAATAAAGTTTTATTAGCATACAGCCATGCCCATTCATTTTCATGTTGTCTGTGGCAGCTTTCAGCCTACGACGGCAGAGCTGAGTAGCTGCCATAAAGACCTAATGGCCTGGAGAGCCCCCCCCACCCCCGCCCCCATTTTGCTATCCGGCTCTTTCTAGAGAATGTCTTGTCAATCCCTGGTCAAGCATCACCAGCCAAATCCAAATCCCTGTTCCTCAAAGCTTTATTCTAAGAGTCTTTGAAAATGAGAGAATTGGGGGCGCCTGGGTGGCTCAGTCGGTTAAGAGTCCAACTTCAGCTCAGGTCATGATCTCACGATTTGTGAGTCTGAGCCCTGCTTCAGGCTCTGCACTCTCTCTCTCTCTCTCTCTCTCTCTGCCCCTCGTGGGATTCACTCTCTGTCCCTCTCTCTCTGCCTCTTGATCACTTGTGTTCTCTCTTTCTCAAAAATAAATAAATAAACAATAAATAAATTTTAAAAAATTAAAAAAAAAAAAGTGTTCCTTTTAGGTTTCTAACCCCAGTAGCCATAAGGTAGAGAACAGCTTTGCTCCCACTACATCAGCACTCTCAACTTCTTGAGGAATTAAGAAAATTAATTTTGTGTCCCCAAAGAAAATAACCACCCCCAGAAAATTCTGCTTAAAAAAAGAAAAAAAAAAAAACTTGCTGTCAAAGCAGGTTTTTCTCTCTCTTTCTCTCATAAACTAATTAATGCCTCATTCTCTAAACCTCTGACCCCCTGGTCTGTCTTTGTTCAGAGCGAAATCTTTGCTCCATCTATGCAGGGGTTTATTAGAATTCACTCCCAGCCGGTATCTATTTATCTTTGTGTGTTTAATTATTTTCCACTTAGAACAAGAAACCGCGTAAGCGCCTAGTTTCTGCTGATTAATGTAAGTCATCTGTACCCGAGAACGAGAAAAACCCTTTACGGACTTCCAATAGCGACAAGAGAAAGGTTAAAACACATCATAACCTTGGGTGCCTTTCAATAGATTTCCCTCTGATTTCATGAGGCTCATCATTCCCTAATGTGACCCAGATAACAATGTCTAGTGGGGAAATTGAAAATATAAATGGAAATGAAGTAAAAGAATCTTCATCTAAAAGAATATGAGAAGTATTATTCTGTAACTGATTGAATGGGCCCTGGGGACTCTGTATTGGAAAGAAAAAAAAAAAAGTGATAACAGTCATTAAGAATCCCACTTGGTGCTACTGTATTTTTCATGTGCACATACAATTACGGTTTCATTATTCCACAGCCTTTTTTTTTTTCATTAACAATAAGTGGAAGGCTTTTAAACCATATGTGTCACTTTGAGTTTCTATGCAAAGACTTCAAGCCTCGTGCTTGCTGGAGGGTTTGCTTTCATAGCGAAGAAGATGGCATCTGCAAGCACCTGTTCTGAAGGGCCTCGGTGGGTGTTGGCCTCTAAACACTTCCGTAAACATTAGGACGAGAAGCTGGGCTGGGCAGAGACAGCTTAGAGTGACGTCAGATATTAGAGTATCTGAGAGTCTGAGAACACAGGTTAAAAATCACATGGTCACAGGGGTCCAGTGTGAAATGGTAATGTGTGAGGCTGATCATTTGTGACCGAGGGAGTGGTGGGGACTCTGGGCAGCTGACGGTGCAGGTGACTAGAGTACTAGTGGGGAAGGAGGGAGGAGGGGAGGAGGGGGAGGAGGAGGGAAAAGGAAGAACTATAATAGTAGTTCTTGGGGCTTATCCAGCACTTATGTGCCAGGACCTGTTGTACATTTGCACACCTCGTATTTACAATAGCCACATCAGATTTAAAAAAGGGCTTAAGGGAAGCTTTCTCGTTTTTTGTTGGTTGGTTTTTTTGTTTTGTTTTGTTTTTTAATGTTTTATTTATTTTTAAGAGAGCCAGAGAGAGAGGGCGCACGAGTGGGAGAGGGGCACAGAGACAGAGGGGACAGATGATTGGAAGAGGGTTCTGGGCTGACAGGAGAGAGCCCGATGTAGGGCTCGAACTCACCACCGTGAGACTGCTACCTGAGCTGAAGCTGGACACTCAACCGACTGAGCCACCCAGAAGCCCCTGTTGGTTGTTTTTTGGAAATAATGTAAGAATAAGCAGTCAATTTTGAAGAGCCTGATTACAAAGAAACTACCTAGCTTTTTCCGGTGGTGTAGCCAGGAAGCGGAAGGGTGGAAGGAGCCCGGGGGGGGGGAGGGGGGAGGGTCCCGGCCACGGCTCCCACGAATAGCCACTGCGATGCGCAGCACAGCGCCCTCAGCAGGCACAGATAAGGCACGCCGTGTAGTGCACGGATGGTAAGAGACGCGGCGGGGGCTCCCCTTGTAACTGCAAGGGCAGTTATGAACACAGCGAGGTTTTACCAAGTCTTTGTCGCTGTCCTTTGTAAACGTCTTCTCCTTCTCGTCCTCGTTCTTGGTCCAGCTGTAGGAGATCATGTAGTTCATGATGGGTGGGTGGTAGACGGTCTCCGGCTGGCTCCAGGACACCTGCAGCGCCGTCTGGTTCAGAGGCTGCACCTTCATGTGGATGGGCGGAGAGCTGCAAACTGAAGACAACACACGGCCAAGCTCAGGGGCTCCCGGGACAACACGCGATTCCACCACGTGCCCGAGTTCTTAAAGATTCTAACCCCCAAAAGCTGGGATCGTGGTACAGGAAATATCCGTACTCCCTTTACTGAGTTTCACCCACTGCTAACATTTTGCACCTCACACACACACACACACACACACACACACACACACACACGCAATTGTTTTCTTGCAAAATCACTGAAAGCAAGTTGCAAACATGCTGATGCTTCCCTCCTTAATACTTTGGCCTTCATCTCCTCAGAATAAGGGCATTCTCTTATATAATTGCATTAGACTGCACACTTGCGTCCCCCTCTGCAAATTCATATGCTGAAATCTGATCCCCAATGTCACGGTATTTGAAGGTGGGGTCTTTGGAAGGCAACTGAGTCATGAGGATGGAACCCTCATTATGAAGGGGATTAGTTTTTCTATAAAAGAGACCCCAGAGGCACCCCCTCACCCATTCACCATGCAAGCAGACAGCCGTCTTACGGACCAGGAAGCAGGCTCTTACCAGACAGCAAATCTGCCGGTGCCTTACCCCAGGGTCCCAAGCCTCTGGGACTGTGAGAAAACAAAATTTCTGTGGTTGACAAACCTCCCAGGCTATGGTAGTTTGTGGTAGCAGCCTGAGCTAAGGCAATAACCGTCACAGCATTATCATACTTAAGAAAATAAACATTAATTCAATAATATTATCTGATATATAGTCCATATTCAGATTTCCCCAGTCATGTCCAATGATAATTTACAGCCATTCCCCACCCCCCCCATCCCATATTGCAGTTAGTTATCACAATGCTTTAGCCCTTTAAATCTATTACAGTCCCTGGCCTTTTTTCCTGATGGCTTTTTTGAAGAAGCCAGGCCATCTGATGTGTGGGCTACCCTGACACAGTGAAACTGTAGATGAAATTTTACTGTAAATACACCAGAGTGTCAACCGATATAATTTAAAATGAGACTTTAATTTTGAAGCAAAGCCACAAAACAGGGATGGGTTTCCTCTGGACCAGCAGTACCCTGTGTATTTATACGGATGCAGGGCATACAGAAAAGTCAGGCTACTTCTCTTTTTCACTCCTTGTGGCCAGCAGGTTTGAAGGGATGTGGTGGTTCTACATCCATCGGTAGACAAAGCCAAGTCGACAGTATCATTAATAGTGCAACATTTTAGGTTTTCAAATGGGTCCTTTCCAGTGGCCGTGATTCCTGTCTCCGTGGGGCTTAGAGTCTACGGCAGGGTTTCTGAGCCTCAGCAGTACCGACCTCGGGCCAGACAATTCTCTGCTCCTGGGGGGCTGTCGTGTGCGCTGCTGGATGTTTAGCAGCATCCCTGGCTGCATCCAGTAGACGCCGGGAGTACTTCCTTCCCGAGTTATGACAACCAAGATGGTCCTCAGATAATGCCAAATGTCCCCTGGAAGGCCAGTCGCCCCCAGCTAAAAACCACTGGTCTAAAGGGGGCGATGGAGATTCGTCAAAGAAAGACACATGTGCAGCTGGTATCACACGCCCGGATGGAATGGATGGTCAGGAGAAGAAGTACGCAGTGTTTTCCAAGCATATTATGGGAGGATGTGGCCCAGGCTTTGGTAGAGACTCCCTTGAGGGAGGTACATCTGCCTGAGAGCTGACAGAGAAGTGGAGATTAAGGGGAGGGAGGGAGGGCAGGTCGAGGGACCACAGCAGGGAGAAGGCCTGAGGGGCTGGATGGAGGCACAGAGAACTAGGCAAGAGGCAAGCATTAACTGGTGGAGCTGGAAAGACCTCATACCCCAGAAGCCAAGTCTGGTCTTGATCCTATGGGCACCGGGAAACGAGAGAGATCTAAACCAGAGAACGACGCAAGCAGGTTTGCACTCTTCAAGATCCCTTGAGCTTCCACCTCCCGGTAGAAGAACCTGGAGGAGCCAGGAGGGAAGGGGGGAGGCAGTGAAGAGGTGCTGTGGGTGGCCAGGCTTGCAGACCAGAGAGAGGATCCGAGAATGGCGGGATCTAGAGCAAAGAGGTAAAACTGAGAGGCCCAGGGAGGTGCCGGCCTAGGAAGGGTGTGAGGGAGAGGAGGGCAGTGAGGACCACACTCCGCCTTGGGGTGCAGGAGGTGAGCAACACCAGAGGAGATGGGTCAGGCTCCAGGGCTTGGTTCTGGCATCTCCCAGAGACACAATTACATGGCCAGCAGCCTACTGCGAGCCACACTCCCCTATTTTCCAACCAAGAGCCCCAGCCCAAGGCTGCCCAGGGGAGCAGGATGGCTTTCCTGCCAGAGATGCACGGGCCCAGCTTTAAGGACCTGGCTGCTGGAGAAAAGCGGAGATTGGTTTTGACAGGGAGGCACCCTTTTGCTCTGCAACTGCCAAATCACGCTTCAGCCGGAGAGATTCACTTTGTGCGACTGAGACAGGAAGGAAGGGCTAAATTGATGAGGCATTCCCACTGCCCCTCAGAACCCCGGGAGGCATCTTGCTGCCTACCGTGCAAATGCCACCAGCACAGGGACATCAAACAAGCAATCTGAAAGGGAGGCCCGCAGCGAGACGCTAGGGTGCAGTGACAGCAGGAGGACACTAGGTGGCGCTAACATACCGCTTTTAAATACCCCAACTGCCTATGTGGCTGGTAGTTTCTCAAGACAGAGCATGGGCGGGGGAGGGGGGAGAGAGAGGAATCAAGGAAAGATCTACACCCCATCTTTCCAGGTGCCAATAATGAACCCAGGAGATTCATATATTGGAAAGCTTCCATATCTTACAGTGATGACCATGTCAAATTTCCTGATTTCTACATCTCTTCTCACCTCCTACCATGTTCTTATTTAAACTCCCTTATTCTGAAGACATCACTCCTCTGCTCCAATTAGTGGTGAGCTGTATGGGAATGCATATATCTCCAAGAGTTACATCATAATCACATAAATAATTCTATCACCCACATGCGGATGCAACCATTCTTCTTATTTATTCTTTCAAATTAAAATAGCTCAGTTTTTCTTTGCTGATTAAGATGATTCATGTTAATGTTTTTAAAAGGAAACCCAAGTAATACAAAAAGAAGAAAGCTAAAAAAAAATCACCCCAAATCCCAGAATCTAGAGATAAGCACTGTTAACTTTCTGGGGATCTCACATTCCGGTATCTCTTTGTGCACATGTAAAAGCACATGCACGCAATTTGATGTAAATGGGATATGGTTTTACATTATAGTTGTTACATTGCTGTTGTGTTTAACCCACTAAGTCATGGAAATATTTCCTTGTCAATAAAGAGAGCTTGCGGTTTTCACTGTTTTGAATGAACGTGCAGAGGTACAGAAGCCCACTGTCTCAATGTACGAGAAAAAAATGTATGTACACTTAAAGTCAAAACCTTTTATTTGAAACTAGCACTTTAAGTTTTTAAATGCTGAGATTATCAGTTAACATCCCATTTTGGAGAATCTGTGGGTCACGTTGACAACTAGGGACAATCTTTGTCCAATAGGACCTTCCTAAAAAAAAAAATTATGTGAGTGTAACTGACATACTATGTTACATCAATTTCAGGTATATGACAATGTACTAGACAATGTACTGAGTGAGGCTCACAAAGGAGGCAGGTCAGACCTCTAATGAGACCACCCACTCAGATGGAACCTCATTGAGGCGCCTCCAGAGGGCCCCCGCTTGTCCCGACTACATACTGAAGCATGCAGTAGCATTTACAGGCTGAGGAGCTCTGTCCCACCTGAGACGAGCAGGCAGAGAAGAAATTTTTCTCTCTCCATCTATCTCCACCACCGCCCTGAGAGGGAGGGTTTTCCTGGGCCAGATTTGCAGAGTACTAGAAGGACCAACAACAGGAGTTGGCAAACTTTTTTGGTCAAGGGCCAGACAGCAAATGTTTCCAGCTTTTCCAACCGCACAGTCTCTGTTGCAAATAGTAAACTCAGCCTTTGAAGTGCAAAACCAGCTCAGGCGGTATGCAGAGGAACAAGTGTGGCTGTGCTCCAGTAAACCTTTATTCCCGGACACTACATTCCAATTTCATAGGACTTTCTTCTTTCTTTTCTTTTTATCTGCAGAGCTAGATACCAAGTCGTCTATATTAGTCATTTTTAATTCAATTTATTTAAACTTAAAAATAGTTCACTGGGTGTTGTATGGAAACCAATTTGACAATAAATTTCATATTAAAAAAATAAATAAAATCACCTTTTTTTTTTTTACCAATAAATAAATAAACAAACAATAAAAAAATTAAAAAAAAAATAGTTCACACATTTGATTTTCAGGCGTTAGGAAATCTTGGGTGTTTTTTCAACTGTTCAAAATTAAAAAAAAAAAATTATTCCTAACGCATGGTTGTACAAAAGGTAGTGGTCAAGTTCTGGCCTGTAGGTCACTGGTTTGCTGATCCTTGATCTGGAAAATAAAGGGAGGCCAAGCTTTTATCTGAAGACACTTGCGTTCTTAGCACTGAATTCCGCCTCTCAACACAGCCTGAGAGGTCCACTCGGCCTCAGAGTGGAGACTCTTCTGTGTGCAATTATATTATTTACTTTGCTGAATGTCTTTGGTAAGTAATCTACCTCCCCACCAGAATGGAAACTCCAAGAGGCTAGCATCTTTCCTGTCTTGTCTGCCGCATTATCCCTGGTGGTGAAGACAGAGCTTGACCCAGGGTGCCTTGTAGTTCGGTCCGTTGAACGTCTGGCTCTTGATTTCGGCTCAGGTCATGATCTCACGGTTCCTGGGGGATCGAGCCCTGCGTCGGGCTCTGCACGAATAGTGTGCAGCCAGCTTGGGATTCTCTCTCTCTGTCCTTCCCCTGCTTGCATTCTCTCTCTCAAAATTAATAAATAAACTCAAAAAGCACAGAGCCTGACACAGAGCAGGCCCTCAATAAATACTGCCAGAATGAGTGGCACGTTGGGTGGGTGGGTTCCTCTGCTGTCCATGTCCCGTGTGCCATCACCCCCGCCATGCCTG